TGGGTCCCACCCACCTGGGGACCACACATGTGTCTCTTGGGTGTGAGGAGCCGGGAAAGAAGTTAGAGGATTTCCTGGGCCTGATTTGCCTTTGTTTTGGTGGAATGAAATGGGAAATGAGGAACGAGGCAGTTGGAAACGTTGCTTTCACTTTGGACAAGCAAACGCACACAAGCTGCAGGAGACTGGCCAAGGATGGCGTCTGTCATCCAGGGACTCCCCGGTGCTGCGGCTCATCATGGCTGAGCTGCAGAGCTGAGGGACAGCGCCCCGGCCCAGAGTTCAAGCCCCACAACCAGCCAAAAAAACAAACAAACCCATACACATATATACACTGGGTAGTGTCTGGGAATGGGTTAAGATGTCCCCACAAAGAACTATGAGGAACAACTGTGGTGCTCATAATGAGAATTATTATTTCACTTTCTATATCTGAAATTCTATATGTACAAGTCGTTTAGGTGCGTTAGGAGAATTTCTCTAGGAAATACTTTAAATGTCTGAAATTTATTTTAGATTGGATCAGTAAATCTGAGGCTCTGAGTTCCCCTCTCAGAGGTGTGCTAATTCCCACTGCGGCACAACCCCACGAAACGCTGGCCTCCCGGAGCGTGGAAGAGGCGACGCCAGGTTCTCTCAGGGCCGCTCCTCCGCTCCCTGGAATCCCTCCGACCTGCCCTGCTGGCTCCTTCTGACACACACAGTCCTGCCCTCTCAGACAAGGTCAGGGTGAGGTTTTCCTGAGACAGGAGGGGTCCCCGGGGAGGGCAGTCAGCGGGCCATGGGGGCGGCGTGGGGTTATGGGAACTACGCTGATGCCCATCACTGGTGCTCCCAGAAAACAGGTGCAAGTGTGTTCTCCACCGTGGAGATGCCAGGCCAGGGCACACGCAGCCTTGCTGAGGTCAGCCTCAGGGGTAGAGACCAAACCCAGGCTAAAGCACCACCACTAGCCAGCTCCCCAGGAGAGGGGCAGTGCCGGAGAAGCCTGGAATCCACCGGGTTACCCACAGAGCCCGGGGGCCCTGGAATCCACCGGGTTACCCACAGAGCCCGGGGGCCCTGGAATCCACCAAGTGACCCACAATGCCCTGGGCAGCTGCTCCCTCCATCAGACCTGCTCCACTTCGGGCCTGTCCCCCAGCTACGGCACTGGGTCATTTGCGACAAAGTCGCCCAGAGGTTCCTCACCACCAGATGTGGCTGGCTTCTTCCTGGTAAATGGCTGGTTGGTTTGTTTTCTAAGCCTTCATTTGGAAACGTGAAGTGGTGCCTCAAGGCAGGTCCTTTGTGCAGAACTGCTTTGCAGATCAGTGCTGAAGTGGAGAACTATGCCTGTGGTTAAAACTTATGATTTTTTCCTTACATATAGTTTAATTCCTCAGAAAGGCTACCTCACAGGTCTCCAAAATAAACATCCGGATGAGGGCAACGGGAAGGCGGGTTGGGGAGGGAAGGGAGGACGGGGAGGACGAATGAAGTCATGAAATTCAATGCATAGCCTTCCAAATTAAAAGAAGAAAAGCGGAGGAAAGGGGAGGGGTTGGGAGGGATGGAGGATGAAAGGGGCGCACTGCCCTGCACCCATAAGCTGATTTGCTGAACTACTTAAGGATAACTTTTAAAATCCTTTAAAAATTCCTGTGTGTACTTTTTGTGCTTTACTTTCCTGTTTGCATACAATTTGTGGAAAGACTCAGGACAGAGGTCTTAGGAGATGCAGAGATTATGAGCTTACCTAGCCAGCCCACTACCCCGAATAAACCAGAAACAATCGCATCACCTCGTGAAAATGCAAAGCTACGCTAGAGACCGGCGTGTGGACCGCCAGCCAGCGCAGAGCCGTGGCTGAAGCTCCCCTCCAGGCACCGACCTTCACAACGGCGATGATGCCGGTTCAGTCTTCACCACTCTCTAATACCATCTGCTCGCCTGTAATTTTGAGCAACGGTACTAAACCTTGTCAGGTCATTCTGAGAGTTGTATGAAGTAGCGTGAGTAAAGGGTTATATGATCATCCCACAGGACACTCAAGAAACATTGATGTCCTGCTGTGACATGGGTTAAAGATGACTAGGACTGAATAATAAAGATGGGCATAAAAGAAAATACAAACATAATGCAGCAGAGTGAAGAGGCGAGGTGCTAAAATGTCATCAGAATGAAAGTAACACATACAAGGCAGGCTCGGGGATAAGACCTGCAGACGTGGCAGACACCGCGTCTCTTCCTGCCCTGACACCGCGTCTCACGGGGCTTCAGCAAGGACAGCTACCCGAAGGAATGGTTGTTCTTCGCTATTTCAGAAATTCCAAGTGAGTGACAACCAAGGTGTTTCAGAGCCCCAGCCATCCTCGAAGCTTCACTTTGGTTTATTACACTGTTTTGCATTGTGTGTGTGTGTGTATTTAAGAACAAACAAATTTCTTCTTAGGCTGAACTTGCACGTTAAAAACTGAATAGTAAGTGGTCAAGGTGACTTTGGTGAGTAGAAGGGTAAACAAGACAGAGGAAGTTACCGCTGTGAGCCACCTCACAGAGCTTTTCCTGCTAACCCCACACCGGTGGGAAACGTCTAATCTCCATCCATCCACCCAGGACTTTCCCCAAATCCTTAGGAAGACAGGAGGCTGGGTTTTCTCTGTTTCCGCTCTCCAAGCCCACTTGTCTTTGATTCCTCTGGTGGTTACACCGCAGGATTCCTTTTCCCCTCTGACCTGGGACTTGGCCAGGAGGCTCCCAGGAGGCTGGAGTGGCCCCCCCCAAATCTGACTCCTGGACGGCCCTGGGCCTGAACTGCAGCTCCTCGCAGGGTTCCCTAGCTGTGCCAGGTCCTGGTGCTAACCTCGGCATCACAAAGCCCAGAAGTGGGAGGCTGAGAAGGGCCGTGACATGTCCTCACATCCAGTCACAACGCGGAGCCCCGTCCCAGCTCTGAAATCCTGCAGACAGCAATGGGAGGGACCCCCACCCACCCGCCAGGTCCTCTCCTGGAATCCTGCAGGAAAGCCCTGCTCCACGGCAGGGAACGACCCTACGCCCTTCCCTTTCTCCTTCCTTGGTTGAAGCGTCTGACAGGCTCGACCTGTAGAGAAATCCTGCCACACAAACACCGTCCATTTTCTCCATGTGTCAGAGCCCATCTCCTCATGAGCACGGAACGCTGGGGAATGGATGGCAGAACCAGGCAGTGGAGCAACAGTGACACCGACTGAGAACGAGTCCCAAGCCAGCCCTGCAGCCCGACTCTCCAGCAAACGTGCAGCTTGAGACCAGCTCCAAGAGCCTTCAGAGGAGCCCAGAGCCATGATCGTGTGCGGAGGCACAAATGCCAGACACTCCAGCTGTGCCCATCCTAGACATTCCCCTCCACTGAGGGGACAGGAGCTGCCGGGGACACGCGGCAGAGAGACCATGGCCACACGCGAGGGCTGTGTGTGTGTGTGTGTGTGTGTGTGTGTGTGTCTATGGGCATATGTGTGTATATCTGTGTATGTGTCTACGTGTGTGTGTGTCTGTGTATATCTGTGTACGTCTGTGTGTGTGTGTCTATGGGCATATGTGTGTATATCTGTGTTTGTGTCTGTGTGTGTCTATGTGTGTGTGTCTGTGTGTATATCTGTGTGTCTATGGGTATATGTGTGTATATCTGTGTATGTGTCTGTGTGTGTCTATGTGTGTGTGTCTGTGTGTATCTGTGTGCATATCTGTGTATGTCTGTATGTGTGTGTCTATGGGTATATGTGTGTATATCTGTGTATGTGTCTGTGTGTGTCTATGTGTGTGTGTCTGTGTGTATATCTGTGTGTCTATGGGTATATGTGTGTATATCTGTGTATGTGTCTGTGTGTGTCTGTGTGTGTGTGTCTCTGTGTATCTGTGTGCATAACTGTGTATGTCTGTATGTGTGTGTCTATGGGTATATGTGTATATATCTGTGTGTGTGTCAGTGTGTATCTGTGTGCATAACTGTGTATGTCTGTATGTGTGTGTCTATGGGTATATGTGTATATATCTCTGTGTGTGTCTATGTGTGTGTGTCTCTGTGTATCTGTGTGCATCACTGTGTATGTCTGTATGTGTGTGTCTATGGGTATATGTGTATATATCTCTGTGTGTGTGTGTGTCTATGTGTCTATATGTGTGTGTCTGTGTGTATATCTGTGTGTCTATGGGTATATGTGTGTATATCTGTGTATGTGTCTGTGTGTGTCTATGTGTGTGTGTCTGTGTGTATCTGTGTGCATATCTGTGTACGTCTGTATGTGTGTGTCTATGGGTATATGTGTGTATATCTGTGTATGTGTCTGTGTGTGTCTATGTGTGTGTGTGTGTGTATCTGTGTGCATCACTGTGTATGTCTGTATGTGTGTGTCTATGGGTATATGTGTATATATCTCTGTGTGTCTCTGTGTATCTGTGTGCATCACTGTGTATGTCTGTATGTGTGTGTCTATGGGTATATGTGTGTATATCTGTGTATGTGTCTGTGTGTGTCTATGTGTGTGTGTCTCTGTGTATCTGTGTGCATCACTGTGTATGTCTGTATGTGTGTGTCTATGGGTATATGTGTATATCTCTGTGTGTGTGTGTGTGTGTGTATCTGTGTGCATCACTGTGTATGTCTGTGTGTGTGTGTCTATGGGTATATGTGTATATATCTGTGTATGTGTCTGTGTGTGTCTATGTGTCTATGTGTGTGTGTCTGTGTGTATATCTGTGTGTCTATGGGTATATGTGTGTATATCTGTGTGTGTGTGTGTGTGTATCTGTACCTGGAGGGCTGCATCTGGCTCCGCTCTTCCTCTCAGAGCTCTTAGACACAAGCTTAAGGCAACCACAACCAGAGCCCAATGAGCCACCAAAGCTCAGCCCGCTGCTGTACAATATGACACCAAAGCTCAGCCCACCTGAGCAAGCTTTACCAGCACAGGAATTCACATTTGAATACACCGACATACAGGACGCCTGTGGCTCTTCAGGGGTGGTGTGGTCCTTACCTTGGTAAGCAAGCTTGAACCCCTGCCGGTTTTGCGAGTGGTCGCTGTAGAAGCGGATGAGGGTCTCATGTGTGGTACTCAGCAAGGCGAGCGGCAGGTCCGAGCCGCTGAACTGCCCGATCATGGGGCTGGTGTGGTAAGGCCCGTTCTGAATCTCCAGGTAGTCGTGGTTAGCTTCCGTGGAGAAATTCAGAAACTGAATGTGTACACCTGTGAGTGAAAACCATGGAAGACAACTGAAATTGCACCTTGAAATCTGTAAAGGCAAGGCTCATCTTAACGGCTCCAACTGTGCCCGCGACACAGGACGGACACGCCGGAGGAGGGGGGCGGCTCCGGCTCCCTCGGGACCCCCGCTCCAGGTCCTCCCACACCGTGGGCAGCTCTGGCCCTGCTCCACAGAGACGAGCAGCGTGGTGATTGGTACACAAAACAAGACACAACAAAACCCATTTTTTCCAGTTGCTGCCAAGCTGATGCTCTCAAAGGGCAAGGCTGGGATTCTGGGACACAAGTTCATCACAGCTTTGTCAGGGTTGGAAAAAAACAAAGCTCCAAACGTTAGCTCTTAACTGGATGGTCACACGGTTGCATTCATTCAGCAAGTGACCATTTTCAATTGTACTGGGCATGGAGAATGAGCCAAAAATGTTTGTAAGAAACCAAAGGCTCAAAATTCAAGCCGGGAGCCTGTGCGGCTCCACAGACGGCAGCTAGTCCCGGCCACTGAGCCCTGTGTGCTCAGGCTGCTGGGTGCCTTGGCAAATTAGAAGGTCAGAAGCAAGGTGGTGTGGGGTTGTGACATTAGGAAATGCAAATGCCCCATCTCAACAGTCTTAATTTGTTTGAAAATTCAATAAAAAACTCCAAAGACATGAGTCTCATAAACCATTGCATTCTGACTGGGTAGTCAAACCTAAACTGAGAATGCTGATGTCTGCCTTAAGAATTTTGCCTCTGTGTTGTTTTTCTCCTCCTGTGGTGCTACAGATGAAATCCAGGCTCCGCATCGGAGCTTTGTTTAATTCTTTTCCAGCAAACATACACACACGTCCTCAGTTGGGAAAATCAGAGGTAATGCCCACAGTGCGAGGCTCTCTACTTGTAACCATAGAGAAACTTTCAGGTGCACACATCTTCCCCCATATCGGGGGACAGGAGACCCCGATGAGTCAGACAGCAGTGCGACAGAGGGAAAGGTAAAGGAGCAGTGTGGGAAGGAAAATGTTCGCAAGTGTGACGGAGCTTATGGCTTAGAAGGAAGTCAGTTTCCTGAGTGAGGGAGGAAACTGTCAGCATCTGACTCACCAAGGCTTTACTTTCTTTGGTTTGGCAAGAAAATAAGCTAGACAAGAGCTCACAGCCTCCATCTGAAGTTCAAATCACCCCACTTTTTCTTAGAGAAAAGTGATTTGCATTAATATTTGCTCAGCTTAGCTCAAAAGAGCAAGGATTAAAGAAAGTAGAATCCGGCAAACTTCAAAAGCGATTGAATAGAACCTAAACCTCACCACGTCTGCCGAAGCTGGGAACTGCTTCTAGGATGGGAGCGACAGCCCAGCTGTACCGCCAGGGTCTGGTGGGTGACCCCGAGTCCCGAGCTGTGGCACAGCGCCAGCACAAAACAGCCTGTCCGCTGGAAGGGAAGCGTCAAATGGGGCTCTTTATTCAGCAGAGAGCTGTCCATATGTTTTGAATCTCAGCAGATTTTACTTTTCTGGTCAGAAGAAACTGAGAAGCAGGAAGATATAAGAAGGAAGAAGAAGTGGGAAGGGGCCAGGGTCGTCTTTGTCTCTCAGTGCTGAACTCTCTGGACACACCACGGGTAGGGGATGGGCCAGTACCCAGCACCCAGCACACTTGTGTGTGTGCATGTGTGTGTGCGTGCATGTGTGCGTGCGTGCATGTGTGATTACGTCTGTGCAGAGAAACCAAGTCTGTGCAGCCTGCAAAGTTCCTTTGACAGCTCTCACGGCGGCCCTAGTAGGTTGCCGGACTGAGGAAGCTGCTGGAATCTGCATCCCTACCCCCAGCACAGGACAGCTGGACATCCTACCCCCAGCACAGGGCAGCTGGACATGGGGCGGGGGGGCAGGGAAGACGCGAATGGGCTGAGAGGAGCTCACTGCAGACATGTGCAGCCAGACTCAGGGGCACCGTGCCGAGACGTCGTTTGAATGACAACAGCAGATCAAGGGGCAAGCCAGGGAAGATGGACCATTTCTCAGAAACAGAGGGCATTTTACTCGTGTGGAATTAGACATGAAATGGAAAGGGAATTACGAGGGTACAATATTGTGAGAAAAATTACCATTTTAAGTAGGATAAAGCATCCAGCTACCTATCAAACCACACTGACGGCCTATCAGGAAACAGAATGGAGCCCAGCTTAAAGCAAATCTGGCTTAACGCAAACTCTGTCTAATTTTCCTCACACTGTGTCGAGTTTGAATCCCAGGGTCCAAATGAGCATGCCCTACTTACCCTTCCATTACCTCCCCAAGTATTTTAAACCTCTGCGGTCACAACACCACGTCCATCTAAAAGAGGCCTCTCTGGTGAAATGTGCTGGCGTGCTTTCTTCTGGCCACAGTTATATATCAGAAATCAAGTGCCAACAAAGAGTCTCTGCATGGGGGATTTGGGGTTCATCTTTGACAAGCTTTGAACAGTAATGGACCATGACTTCATAGCTGGAGCCGCCTTTCTGGATGAAGACAGTATGAAGAGCGACTTCTCTGCCCACATTCTAGGTGTGGCAGGCAATGCTCTGAAGTGTGTTGTGTGGCTTCTCCATGGAGCCAGATGTCCTGAGTGATAAGAGGTTAAGATGGCGTCTTGTGCAACACTAGTGGTTTATTCACGATAAAAAAGATAGTGGAGCAGGAAAAAAAACCTCTGTGGCATCTCTACCGTGTCTGTGAATGTTTTAAAGAGAACACAGGCAGAAACGGTCTATAGGTTCCAGCTCGCCAAAGCATCCACAAACCATCACCCCCCCTCTGTGGGAAGGCAGGAGAGTCCCCTCAGTTCGGAGGGGAGCGCGGGTGGATGATGACGCTCCAGCCGGGGCCTGAGCCGGGCGTGGAGGCCTCGGGACGGGCCCGGCCGCCCCGAGGGAGGGAGCAAGGCTCTCTGACGCCTGGGTCACTTGCACAAACTGATGCCGCAGTGGCTGACGGAGCTGCTACACACCAACAACCCCCGTGCCCGGCAGGCCTGCGTGTCCTACACACGGCTCCCGAGCTCCACACTGTGCACCGAGGCAGGCTGGGGAGCACCGGGATGAATCACCGAGCTCCACACTGTGCACCGAGGCAGGCTGGAGAGCACTGGGGTGAATCACCGTGCTCCTCACTGTGCACCGAGGCAGGCTGGAGAGCACCGAGGCAGGCTGGGGAGCACCGAGGCAGGCTGGGGAGCACCGAGGCAGGCTGGAGAGCACTGGGGTGAATCACCAAGCTCCTCACTGTGCACTGAGGCAGGCTAGAGAGCACCGAGGCAGGCTGGAGAGCACCGGGATGAATCACCGAGCTCCACACTGTGCACCGAGGCAGGCTGGAGAGCACCGGGATGAATCACCGTGCTCCTCACTCACGCCTGCTTGAGGCAGCCGTGGGCCGGCCACAGGCAGGAGACGGGTCTGTGTGTTGGGGTGGGTTCGTCAACAGATCTGCTGACTACACATGTGGTTTTCACTTGTGGGCGGGAAGTTTCAAACCAACCAATAAAATCATCCATGAGCCAGCTAGCTGCCGGTGGCTCACGCCTGTCAACCTAGCTGCTCAGAAGTCTGAGCTCTGAGGATTACAGTTCAAAGTCAGCCCAGGCAGGAAAGTCTGTGAGACTCTTATCTTCAATTAACACTAGAAAACGGGAAGTGGCGCTGTGGCTAAAGTGGTAGAGTGCAAGCCCTGAGCAAAAGAGCTGAGGGACAGCACCCAGGCCCTGAGTTCAAACCCCACAACTGACAGAAAAGAAAAATATCAGCCATGAACAGCGAGTACAGGGAACATTCTTGCCAAGAAAAAGCCACCGTCTTCAGTGCTGCTCAGGGTGACCGGAAAGCCGCAGCATTTCACAAGCCACAGTCAAAGAACCTGGAGCGCCTGTCGCCTGCCAGACCCACTGGGAGGAACCTCAGTGAAGGGAACATCTTCGCGGCTACTTTCAAGTTCTAATGTATCCTACTGTTTGATACTCCAGAACATTCCATCTCCACTCCCAATTAGCCAACGTCCTGTGATCGCGATGCTCTTACCTCACACCGGTTTATCTTAAACAAGGGATATCTGAAAGGAGCTATGCATGCATTTCTCATCTTATTTAGATTCGAAGTGTTCTATCCTACACCGGAGCCATGCGTCCCCCATTGACTGACTCTGGTACCCAGGAACTGAAGGCGCTTCACGAAAAGACAGAAATCTTTGCCTCATTAGCCAGGAACAGGGGGCGAGAACATCCACCCGTGGCCAGAGGTGACTGAAACTCCGCTCTGGGCCTTCCCTGTTGTACCATGTCATGACGCAACACGTCACATCTCTGAAGATACTTTCTAATTTATAAATCCATAATCAGTACAATATGCAACCACAAGCTGATACAATACCATTATTTCAAATATAGATGGTTTTACTGAATTCAAAATGCATCACAACTTGCACATAACCTGGTTTTGTCCCAAAAGAAACAAGAACCATTCCTGAGTTCTAGAGGTAGGCTGGAGGCAGGATTGTGGACAAGGAGGTTGATAATTGGATTAGCGACGCCAAATTGTGCACTTCCTGGGCCTACTCTATCATCATCCAGCTAATTTAATTTGAAAAGAGTTGCATGGCTGATTGGTTTTCTAAATACCTTCCCATCCTTCAAGTTGCTCTGCCAAAGCTTTATCAAAGTCTGCAATCCACTTTCGATGGAAGAGACAGCATGCCACCCAGACACGGCTCGCTCCTAACTCAGGGTCATTCTCTGCCTGACAGAAATGACAAGGCGGGACTTGTAAATACACTCACGTCTCACTCACCGTAGCCCGCAGGCAGGGATATCCTCCAGGTGCAGTCCAGGTTGTTGGGGTACGCTCCGGGAAAGCCGGGGCTCAGGATCACTCCACCCAGCTTGGTCAGCGTCCCCCCGCAGGTGGCTGTGAAACAGACAAAGGCTGTTGGGGTCCGGCATTCCCTTAGGATTCACGTTCCAGCGCCCTGTTTCCCCACGGTCCAGAAGAGCCAGCGGGCCGAGTGAGCTGCAGCTGGCCTTCATGACCCTCGGCTCAGCCACCCAGTGCCCTTCATTCCCCTTGGCCTGAGAACCGGCCATTTTCCTCCATTTGTCCTGAGCTGGTCAGGCATCAAGGTGGCCTCAGTGTATCTCTATTGAAGGTGGTACAGATTACTCCACACCATGAATTAACTGAGCCTGGTATGGGGCCAAGACAAGTGCACCCATCACTGACCCCGAAAGGCTGGGCAATACCCCATCACTGCACCCCAGACCCCGAAAGTCTGGTTACCCCATCACTGCACCCCAGACCCCAAAAGGCTGGGCATTACCCCATCACTGCACCCCAGACCCTGAAAGGCTGGTTACCCCATCACTGCACCCCAGACCCTGAAAGGCTGGTTACCCCATCACTACACCCCAGACCCCGAAAGGATGGGCATTACCCCATCACTGCACCCCAGACTCCGAAAGGCTGGGCATTACCCCATCACTGCACCCCAGACCCCGAAAGGCTGGGCATTACCCCATCACTGCACCCCAGACCCCGAAAGGCTGGGCATTACCCCATCACTGCACCCCAGACCCCGAAAGGATGGGCATTACCCCATCACTGCACCCCAGACCCCGAAAGGCTGGGCATTACCCCATCACTGCACCCCAGACACTGAAAGGCTGGGCATTACCCCATCACTGCACCCCAGACCCCGAAAGGATGGGCATTACCCCATCACTGCACCCCAGACACTGAAAGGCTGGGCATTACCCCATCACTGCACCCCAGACCCTGAAAGGCTAGCACCACAGCCCCTGAAAACGCCCACCTGGAAAATCAGGAAACCAAGCCTGAAGTGATGAGGAAATGAGCCTAGAGTCCTGCCCAGCCATCCCTATTCCACCCGGCCCAGTGCCCACCAGCAGCCTGTG